AATTAATGAGCAAAGCTATTTAGCTATGACATCGGTCTATGCAATCGATAATTCTGCTCAAACAGGGAATTCAAACAGTTTGGGGCAGAGCCAGAAAAATACGTTAAGATGGGCTGAAATTTAATTTTTTTTTTTCAATGAATTCATACCATAAAAGATACTCTATACCACTTGAATTTTTTTTTCAATGAACTGCTGTATCCTCTTCAATTTCAACAGAATGCATACTTGTGGTAGATTCATCTACCTTTTTAAAGAAGGAGAACAATGTTTTCTTTTTCTTGGCACCAGATTGAAGATTTTTCATTTTTAACTGTAGTGAAGTTGGTCTACTGAAATAATTGATGGATGAAGTCATATTCAATTAGATTAAAAAATATAAAAAACGTAAAATGATATTCACAAAACTATTAAACGTTGAATTGTATTTTTGCAATTTCACATAATTTTCCTTGTACATCATACAAAAATTAAAAATTAAACTCAATACCATGAAATTAAATTCACGCAATTTGCAATTTTAATTTAGCAGTCACAACATTAAGATTAAATTGTTGCTTTAACTTTTAAGCCTTTGGCAAAAATAATTGAACTTTTAACTTTACCTGTAGGAGTAGGTAAGGGTTTTTAATTACGTGGGTTAGAGAATTGGGATGGAACTTGTTCAATTCAAAGGAGATAAATTGGTATGTTGGCTAATTACAAATATTAGATTTAAACTTGATCCATTTAAGCTGGGCTAAAGTGGGTATATATTGAATATGATAGCTAGTGGTCTAACTTTAAATTTGGGCCGAGCTATAATTCTTTTTTCAAAAAACTTACAAACAAAATTTCATTCTAGGCTGAGGCTGCACTGGCTACCCCCTACATCCGCCCATGCAAACAGGAACCCTGTCAATCTGTTTTGGCAGGGTTTCATTGGATATTTTTTCTTTTTTAAAAAAAAAAAAATGGCCAATCTATGTTTGCCACGTGTGTCTGTCATTTTTTTCCTGTTTGAATTCCCTGTTCGTGTAGTGTTGTTCCTATGCAATAGTGCTCGCTACCACATTTTTAAATGAAGTTAGGATCCATTTTTATACATTGGACAATGTGATAGTGACTTCATTGTTACATAGACGGGTACTTACCATTAAAATTAAATAGCATACAATATCCAATTGGAATCCATATATCAAATCGTTCTACA